CTAGGTTCGGTCGGTCCTACTCTTTGGCATACCTAAAGACAACAATATACCCCACAACCTAGAATCGCAAGCATCGAAGAGAGGGTTCGCTATTCACCTATCATTGACAATCTACTCGAACACCTAGAGGTCTAAGTCCAAATCGCTAAGCAATCTCTAAGCAGCTATCACCATCATCTCATCATCAACCAATCTCAACTCAAACGGTTTATGAAATGCATATGCTCCTACATGCTGTGGACCTATATGTAACAAATGCAATGCAAGACACAAATGTAATGTAAGGCTAGGTGGTATCTATATGTACAAGTGCAAAAAAATGCAAGTGTGGAATGCATCTATAGTGAGAAATCATTTTTTTTTGTATGCAAGTGAAAGTATGAATGCACTCTAAAAATGGACTTGAAGCGATGTTAGATGCGCACCCCCCCAGACTTGAACGAGACACCGTCCGCGGTGTCACACAAATCCGAAGGGGAGGATATGTGGAATAGGAAATTTGGAGCTAAGTGAAATAGGAGGGAAAAGTGAGTGTATGACCTTGTGTCCAAGGATGAAAGATGCCTCCCCGCATTCCACTTGCGAATGATTCCACATTGCACGTCGTCTCGGTTGCTCGATAGTGTTCACCTTCCAAAATCAAAACTCGGAAAGAGAGAAGATCAACTGAAACTGATATACCGGTCATACCAGGAAAACATCAAACCCAATCGAGAGAGTGCAAATGGATGATTCTAAATGAGATGCAAATGCTAAAAAGGATACTAAAAAGGATATCTACAAGTTCGGGGTGCCTCCCGAGAGCGCTTATTTATGGTCCTAAGCTTGACCGCGGGGTTGCTCATTCGTCTTGAGGATCAGAGAAGCTCATCGAGCTCCTCTCTTTGTCGTGTTCCCCGGGGTTGTAAATCTTCAACCTCTGCGCGTTGGCCTTGAATGTATCCCCTCCATAGCCATATAGCTCTATTGCTCCGTGAGGGTAAACGTGCTTAACCGTGAAAGGCCCTGACCAACGCGATCTCAACTTGCCTGGAAAAAGTTTGAGCCTTGAGTTAAAGAGAAGTACTTGATCGCCCTCTCTGAATTCTCTTTGCAAAATCCGACGATCGTGCCATCTCTTTGTTCTCTCCTTGTAAATTCGGGCATTCTCATAGGCGTCCAACCGAATCTCATCGAGTTGGTGAAGCTGCAACACTCGCTTCTCCGCAGCGGATTTCCAATCGTAGTTCAGCTTCTTGATCGCCCAATATGCCCTATACTCAAGCTCAACCGGCAAGTGACAAGCTTTCCCATAGACAAGTTGAAAGGGAGACATACCGATGGGTGTCTTGAAGGCTGTCCTATACGCCCATAGAGCGTCATCAAGCTTGGATGCCCAATCCTTCCTCGACCTTGACACCGTCTTCTCAAGTATCGCCTTGATCTCCCTATTAGAGACTTCAACTTGTCCGCTTGTCTGAGGGTGATACGGGGTAGCCACCTTATGTCTCACACCATACTTCTTCAAAAGCGCTTCTATGGTGCGGTTGATGAAGTGAGATCCTCCATCGCTAATCACGACCCTTGGCGTCCCGAACCTCGGAAAAATCAC